GGAGGGAGGGAGGGAGGGAGGGAGGGAGACTGGAGATAAGGAAGGGAGAAAGGGAAGGATCCAGCAGGTGCCTCTCCCATTTTTCTGTGCAAAAATCTTTTATTGCATCCACAAACGTTGGGCGGGGCTGGCCCGCCCGATGGAGACCCTTGTCCTTGCCCAGTGAGGCCGCCTCTCCAGCAGACGGGCAGGCGAGCCCAAAGCGGCCTCCGGTCCTTGCCCAGCCCACCATTCCCGCCCCTCCCCGTGTCTCCTGGGGACAAAAAGGGAGCGTCCGTCCCCAAATCTGTCTTTTCTCTCCCGCGATAAGAGAACCTGGAAGAGAAAAAGCAGCGATGAGTCCCAAATGGCCCTGGAGAGACAACAGCGGTCAAGGCAAAGCCTCCCCCAGGCCGAAACTGACACCTCTCCTCTCCTCTCCTTCATCTCTTTCCTTCCTTTCTTTTCCTTTTTCTGTCCTCTCTTCTCCTCTCCTTCCCCTCTCCTCCCTCCCTTTCTTTTCTTTTCTTTCTTTCCCCTCCTCTCCTTCATCCATTTACTTCCTTTCCTTTCCTTTTGTTTTTCTGTTCTCTCTTCTCCTCTCCCTTCTCCTCCCCTCCCTCCCTCCCTTTCTTCTTTTTCTTTCTTTCTTTCTTTCTTTCTTTCTTTTTCTTTCTCTCCCCTCCTCTCCTTCATCCTTTTCTTTCCTTTCCTTTTTCTGTTCTCTTCTCCTCTCCCTTCCCCTCTTCTCCCTGCCTTTCTTCTTTCTTTCTTTCTTTCTTTCTTTCTTTCTTTCTTTCTTTCTTTCTTTCCTTTCTTTCTTTATTTCTTTCTCTCCCCTCCTCTCCTTCATTCATTTACTTCCTTTCCTTTCCTTTCCTTTCTTTTCCTTTCCTTTCCTTTCGTTTTTCTGTTCTCCCTTCCCCTCTCCTCCCTTTCTTTCTTTCTTTTTCTTTCTTTCTTTTCTTTCTTTCTTTCCTCTCCCTCCCCTTCTCCCTCCCTCCCTCCTTCCATTTTTATTTCTTTCTTTTTCCTTCCTCTCCTTCTTCTCCCTCTCCCTCTCCCCCTCTTCTCTCCCCTCCTCACCAGCCAGATGTTACAGCTCGTCCCGGGCTGCTGTGGGGAGGGAGCGGCTGACGTAGCCTCCGTGGCTGATGCCGCGGGCGTCCTTCAGGGTCTTCTGCGAGCCGCTCCAGGCGGTTTTCTGCGAATCGTCATCCCAGATGGTGGAAAACTCCGTGTCGCTCATCCACTCGGCGTCCCCGGCATAATGGGCAGGGTAAGCCAGGTAGGGCTGGACGGAAAAGGCCCGCAGGTCCCGGCTGCGGAAATATTTTTTGTAATCCTCGCTGTGGGAGACGGGAAAGGAGGGGAATTACGCCTGGCCTTTGCTGTAAAAATACAGGTAAGTCCTCGACTTACGACAGTTCATTTAGTGACCGTCCAAAGTTACAACGGCACTGAAAAGAGAAACCTAGGACCATTTTTCACACGACCGTTGTTGCAGCCTCCCCCACGGTCACGCGATCAAAATTCGGAGGCTGGGCCACCGATTCGTATTTATGACGGTCGCGTGTGATCACGTGCTTCCCCCTTTTGCGACCTTCCGACAAGTGAAGTCAACGGGGGAAGCCAGATCCGCTTAACGACCGTGTGACTGACTTGACCACTGCAGCAACTCGCTTAGCGACAGCGGCAAGAAAAGTCATAAAACGAGGCAAAACTCACTCCAAACGTCTCACTTAGAGACAGAAAATTTGGGGTTCAGCTGCGGTCGTTAAGCCGAGGACTGCCTATGTTAAAAAAAAAAAAGTGGAGCATAATTTGGTGCCAGCAAGACCTTCGAACATAAGAGCCACGCTGTATCCCTCAAAGCATGTGCAGAGTGTTTTCTTTCTCTGCGGTGCATGGGGGTCCTTGGCGTATGACAACAGAGCCCCAAATTTACGTCGCTGAACGAGACACTTTGTGAAGTGAGTTTTGTCCCGTTTTTCGTCCTGTCTCACCACGGTTGTTAAACGAAGCGTCTCAGTTGTTCAGTCAGTGACATGGTCGTTAAGCGAATCTGGCTTTCCCCGCGAAAGGGGATCACGTGACCCCGGGACACTGTGACCGTCATAAATATGAGTCAGTTGCCAAGCATTCTAATTTTGATGCCTGGGGATACTGCAAGGGTCCTAAGTATGAAAAACGGTCACAAATCACCTTTTTCAGGGCCGTTATAAGTCAAGGACTACCTGTACACCTCTGAAAAAGACCTTGCTGGCTGCTAAAATGATAGTTCTCCTTAAGAAGCAAATAAACTTAAGTGCACCGGGTTCACACAAAATTAACGCAATCTAGCTTTGTGCATTGGTCAGTGGGAGCCGGAAGCAACTCTGGTTACACCTATTGTAGAAATGTTACTCTCTGTGCCAGTTTAGGGGACTGGAGGCCAAAGCATATAAGGAACGGCTGCTGGAATTGGGTATGTCTAGTTTAAGGAAGAGAAGGACGAGGGGGGACATGATAGCAGCTTTCCAGTAGCTCAGGGGCTGCCCCAAAGAAGAGGGAGTCAAGCTCTTCTCCAAAGCGCCTGAAGGCAGGACAAGAAGCAACAGATCATGGAAACTAATCAAGGAGAGAAGCAACCTAGAACTAAGGAGAAACTTCCTGACAGTGAGAACAATTCACCAGTGGAACAACCTGCCTCCAGAAGCGGTGAATGCGCCAACACTGGAAGTTTTTAAGAAAAGACTGGACAGCCGATTGTCCGAAATGGTTTAGGGTTTCCTGCCTGAGAAGGGGGTTGGACTAGATGACCTCCAAGGTCCCTTCTGACTTTATTATTATTATTATTATTATTATTATTATTATTATTAACAACCTGCTTCCAGAAGCGGTGAATGCTCCAACACTGGAAGTTTTTAAGAAGAGACTGGACAGCTATTTGTCTGAAATGGTATAGGGTTTCCTGCCTGAGCAAGGGGGTGGACTAGATGACCTCCAAGGTCCCTTCCTCCTCCTCCTCCTCCTCCTCCTCCTCCTTCTTCTTCTTCTTCTTATTCTTATTATTATTATTATTATAGTTTATGGATCCAGCTTACACACTCCAGGTCAAACACCTATGGAGACCCTCAGCCATCCGAGTCATGGTTGCCCTCAAAGATGCTTTTCCAAAAGACAACTGGACTCTGGTTTTCCTGGAAGATGTTTCACTTCTCATCCCAGAAGCTTCTTCAGTTCTTCAGAAGGCCACTGGACTTTCTTGTTTTTCCTTGAAGAGGTTTCGCTTCTCATCCAAGAAGCTTCTCCAGTTCAGAACTTCAGAAGAAGCTTCTTGGGATGAGAAGCGAAACGTCTTCGGGAGGAGAAAAAAAAACCACAGAAAACTCCCGTAGTTGGGACTTCCAGGTCAAACCTTCCTTGCAATTTCAGCTGGGGAGAAGACACCGTTTCCTCCCCTGCTCTTCTGCACTCAGGGACGGGAAAATTACACGTCTACGAGGAACGGAAATATCTCTAAATTATACGCTTCCTTCCTCCGTGGGGCGGCCCTGACGCTGTCATGATTCTAAAACAAGTTGATTCTGCTGATCGTTGTCAGCGGGCTCCAAAAATCTTCTACAGTTCATGGCTCATTTGGTCAGTTATCATAAGTCTTCTCCTCCCCAAGCAGCTACGAAGATCATACTTATCATCCAAGAGAGCCTACAAAAATCTGTTCTCCATTCAGAAGGAGAATCAGAATAGAGCTGGAAGGGACCTGGAGGTCTTCTAGTCCAACCCCCTGCTCAAGCAGGAGACCCTAAACCAATTCAGACAAGTGGCTGTCCAGTCTCTTCTTAAAACCTCCAGTGATGAGGGAGGGAGGGAGGGAGGGAGGGAGGATGGATGGATGGAAGGAAGGAAGGAAGGAAGGAAGGAAGGAAGGAAGGAAGGAAGGAAGGAAGGAA